AGGAACTCCGTGTATCTCCACCCGGACGAAGGGGTCCAGACCTTTGCCGCTCCTGTTGACAGGAAGGTTGGCCCCGCTGATCACCTGGGGAAGTATGGGTAGAAAGTTTTGTTGGCTTTAGTGGTTCCCAGTAACAGTGACGTAAAGTGAAATTTAAAAAAAAGTAGAAACAGTAAAACTAGGAAAGAAAAGAAATGTGACAGAAGGTTTCATCTGCAGTCCTCTCACACCGAGCCTCCTCTCCTCCTTGTGGTCAAAGACAAACCTGCGTGTACTTATGACATTCATCACTTAGTAATAATGAAGATTTACAGTGTCTGGCTCAAAATGAGAGCATGCCTACTCCTCAAAAGCCACGGTACAAAACACTGCATCTTTGAAATATTACTTAAATAAAGGACGGAGATATTTTTAGGCAGCCTAATGAAAAAAAATCTATAAAAGTTAAAAACCCGAGCCTGGATACAGCACTGAGCGTTACTAATGAGTGTGATTCCAAGTGACTGAGGAGCTGGTGGCTTTAATAAGTCAAGTGAAGAAGAAGAAATGCTGAAATCTTTGTGAGTGTAATTTAATAGGTACAACTTTTTCTCTCTGTCAATGTCTTCACTCACTTGTCTTTAACTCCAGCCAAGGTGCTTCGAGGCACTTGAAGATTATAACTCTCAGACTGTTATTCAGTTAATGGGAACTTCACTTCCCAAGCACCAAGCTTCGGTTGAAACACACCGGAGAAAAAGTTGGCAGCATGACACGCATTTCCAAAGAACAGCAGACATTTGTTAATTTTGTATTTGACTTTCATTTGTGATCCTAGGCCTTGTCTGTTGTCTTTGTCTGTTGTCTGATGTCGTGGCAGAGACATGACTTTTTCAAGACAGGTGTCTTCAGCTCTGGCATTTCACACAGAAAAAATACACTAACGGGGAAATGAAACCATTTAATAATATTGTTTTTTCACTTTTTATAATTATTTCTTAGTACTTTTTGAGACATGATGACGACTCCCCCTACTGCTGTGTTCAGTACCCACGGGTTTCCTCTGATCTCTGATCTACCGACTGTCATTCTGAAATAATTGTGATTGTTGCATGATCGGTCCTAACGTCGTCTCCTAAGGTTTTCATGACAAAAAAACAAAAACAAAAAAAACTGTGATTGAATTGTACCGGTCAATCCAAAACAACAAATGAAACTGTTTATCACCTACTCATTTGTCTTCCAAATCAAATCACAGCCATCAGCAGTGACTTGGAATTAAATGTCTTTCCCAGAGACATATCATCATCTAAATCTGCAATTGGAACATTAACTTTTTCTCTGACAGAAAAGCTGCTGTATGGCTGTCACCAAAAAAAAAGTAGATTAATAATTAAACGAATAATTATACATTGCAATTAAATTTACTTTTCATATGTTGAGCATGTATCACAATTAATGACAAATGACTCTTACTCTATATGGGTTTGAAATGCTATCAATTTCACCATCATATGTTGAACTAATATCAGGGCATGTATTTCATTTCAGTTTGTCTGTTTTCTGAAAAAATGATGGCAAAAATCAAATGTTTTCTGGCAATTAAATATAAAACCTGACACATAATCCGTATTCACTTGGCAGAGATTAATTAAACTCTTAAAAAATGCGTTTATTCTCTTTGGCTCTGTCTTCTATTAATTGTTCAATTAAGTGGTGAACCTCGCAGTTAGTTTCATGTCATTGGTTAACGACGTTCAGCTGCGCGGCATTTCTCTGGAGTGGAAGGAGCTCCACATCACAATGGTCAGGATTATCATGGAGACAGGCTCAGGAGGCACACACACTGTACACTGAGCAGATAGGCCTCAGACAAAACCACTAATCCATAAGTCGGTCCTGAGTGAATTATTCACCATTCAGTTCTCTGTAGCTTTACCTTCAGCAGCAGTTGTGTCGGCGTGTGACTGCTCTGGCCGCCAGGATCAAAGCCCTGATCGGACATAAGCACCACCGGCTTCAGGACGTACCCGCAGCCCCCGTTGTCCAGGAAACGGCCATCGTTAAGGTCCATAGGCAAACCCAGAGTCTGGAAATTCAGAGCCACTGTAAAACATCATGGGAGTGTTGGTACGATGAGGAGGCCAGAAATGTACACGCCTTGCTTATTATCTCTACAGCATAAAGACATGTATAGTACAGTAACTGATGACATGTTTACATTATAACGTAGCATGCATTACATCAGGGAGGACTCTCCAGTCACTGGCTGCAATAAAGGCACATTCTCAGGCTTTTCTGCAGCACACGGCTTCCTGTGTTGGTGAGTGTTGTGTAATTGTGCTTTATAGTTAGCCTGGAACTACATATGAATAATGCAACAGGACTATTTAATTCTGTACTCTGCCATGCCTTTTATATGTTTCACAGGAGCAATCATCTCCCTGCTGCAGAGCTGCAGTTTTATTCCACCGTCAGTCTGAAGCCTGTATCGCTCAGCATCTGCGCGGCTGTCACCACCACCTGCAGACAGCCTGCTTATCGATCAGCAGGGCTGTACATCAGTGTCATTGGCTGCCAGGCTGAGCAATAGTGATGGATGAAGAGAATATGTAAAGACTGACAGAGTGACAAGAACACTGGGCCAAGACAGATCAGGGGAGTGACTTTAATCCCATGGGCGAGATAGGCATTTCCAGAGGATTTAGGGAAGGTTGCAACAAAGATGGTTCTGGTTTTGGAAGTCGTGCGGTACTTGCACGGTCTGACATTTATCTAAAAACGCCTGTATTTTCTCTGAGGTCATACCCGTCTGTCCCTTGCCACCTTTAAGCACAGGACGTGGATGGAATACAGTTGCCTTTTTGTTTATAGTCAAGTAGGAATTTTCTTGTGCACCAGCCAACAAAAATGTCACCTAAAAATATATAAAATCAAATATAATTAACTTTTAGTTTCAATTTACTCAGTGTGAGAATAGGGCCTGTTTAGGTAAACACAACTCTAATATAGTCAAAGGAATTGAAGACAGATCACACTGATTTACTTCTGGGACTGTCAGTACAGATGGCTGTGTTCATATTTAATACTCACTCCATGAGGTTAAATCAAAAGCAGCTTTTTAAAATACTGATTAACTGTAACTGTTGAAAACAGACACTCCTTACAGTAGACTTGATTATATTATTTGATGATTTCTTTGTGTTTGTTTACAGCCAAATCCAACAAACAATAATCAGTGGTCTATAGATTCCTCCTTGAGCCCTATGAAGTTTTACAGTTTTTCCAAATTAATATTTTTGTATAAAAGACATTCTTTTGCCTCCTCTGTGTAGTAATAAAAAAGGAAAGATTATTTCAGTGGATTTAATTGGTTTATCTCCTGTATTCTTAATAATGAAATATGTATCAGTCTATGTGAAACATATGCAGCTATAGTACCATGATAAGGATGCATAAACACTTTTTGAATTATTTACATTTTTCCAATATTTGCAAACAGACTAAGCTGTGCTTTAATTTTTTCAAAGGCTTTGACTGACCGAGCTGTGAGCCAACGTTCCAAAAATCCTGAGGGTTGTAATTAGACGACAGCACTCTGGAGCCTGATGGATAAATTCTGCTGAGGAACCTCTGGTTGTGTTGGACAAAGTCTGCACCTGAGAAGGTAAATGCACAACAGCCAAAGGTCAGGAAGCACATTTTTATTAACCCTCCACTGCAGAGACATCGCTCCTATATTCCTGCACAACTAGTTACTTTACTTTTACTTTTTATTTGAGCTCGAAAATGTCATGAAAACGCATTTATCCTAAACTTGGCCATTAATCAAATTCCTACCTGACTTTTTGATGAGCTTCTGTGCTTTTGCCTCCGCCATCGACGTGTTTTCATAGAAATTTTGATTGTCCCTGGAGTGACTGAAGTTAATGAACTTGACAGACCTAGTGTAGATGACCAGGTCAGACAAAGCCTTGGCCACTAACTCAGTCTTCTAAACATCATATATAGGATTGACAAAAAGACAAAAAAAAAATTAAAATGTTACATTACTCAGTTGGAACTGAAAGTTGTTATTTTATATTATTTTAAGTCAGTCAGTTATGTCAATATGCCTTTCAAGATTTTCCTGCCCTGACTTACTTTTTTCTTTGACCCTGACTTTGCTGGAGCTTCCTCTTCTTCCTCCTCCTCCTCCTCCTCCTCACCCTCATCTGTAGTCTCCTCTGTCTCTGTCCCTGATGCAGCCTCAGACTTGTGGGACTTTTGCTTTTTATACTTGATGAGAACTTTATATTTCAAGTCCTGGCGATCAGGCAATCAAACACATTCACAGTTCTGTCAGTTTACATGTGGAGAAATCATTTTGTAGACGCACACACAAACAAATGCAACTTGTACCGTGCTGTTGACGGCACAGTCACACTGTGAATTCCTCTAAATCTCTGTCTCCAAACACATTTGAAACCTTTGCACAAACCTGCCCCTCTGCAATTTGTCTCGCTCTCTTATTATTCTCGTCTATACACAATGCATTACAACACTCAGCCAGACAGTGGATTATACAGGACAAAAGAGCAGGTGAACCAAACCACTGAGTCACACGCCTGCTGCTGTACTATCAGGCCTTTGCTGCAAATCTAATCTGCACCTACAGATTGCTTTTTGTCCACAAACTTCAAAAAAAGAAAAAAAAAAGGGGGGGGGGGGGTTCAATTTAAGCCACATATTAGGCCCCATACTTAATCCAAAAGCAAAGTATGTGGATTAATTACACATCTGCCAAAATAAAGAATGTGTACGAGTCAATATAGAATGAAAACTCCAGACTCCATACATTCCTATGGAGATGCACTGCTGTTACACAGTAGAGCTGAAATCAACGCCTTGTCTATGGTGTTGGTGTAACACGAGGTTCTTGGAGAGACTTTTGCCCTGTGTTGACATTGAGAAAGAGTTACAGCTTCGTAACAGACTGTATAGTAATCCCACAAATATGTTGGATTTAGAGTAATTAGAGACAAGTGTCCTTGGCTCTCTAGTCGAACTCTGCTGCAGGCAATATGTAAACAAATTAGGATTAGGTCTATAATAAACGGACAAACTCTTAGAAAGTTGACATATCAGATATCAACCAGTCACATATAAACCAACAGTATTTAGTTAACTCATTCTGACCATAATTTATTACCATTTATGTCAGCTTTGTCTTTTAGCAGAAGTAACACAGGGGTTAGTTTTTGAGAGAAGGACAGTAGCATTACGGCGTCGCAATGGGGAAATGTAAAAGTATGGGAGGAGGACCCAGTTCCAGCACTTTAGGACAGAGGTATCGGGGACAGTTCTTTGAATCAATCAAGCCCAAAACAGGATCAGAATCAGAAACTGGCCTCAGAACTCAGTTAGTCTGGGTAACAGAAAAAAAACTAAGTGCAGTCACACAGACAGGACTCATGGAGGACAGACCAATGACGTATTTCCGAAATCTATTCAGATTTAAGAACCAACTAGTGAGACTTCAAATCTAGTTTCCTAAAGTCAAGTGTTAATATGTAGTTGTCTATGATTGGCTGTCGCAATCTTGGTCTCATCAGAGGTCCATTGTCCACAATTATTACTAAAAGAGTACACTGCTCATCATCAGGAACACCGTACTCTCTGTGTAGCATGGTGATGGCAGCACATTATATTCTGGAACTATTCTTCTACAGCTGGAACTGAGGCTTTCTAGCGTGAATAATAAACAGCGACATGTATCAGTCTATATTTCTTACACATCTCCAGGAGTCTGCTGAGAGGCTGAGGATGAAACCCATTTTTCATGTGAAAGCATGGAAACAACCCAGAGCTACATTTAAGTCAAATGACAAATGACTTTAAAGCCATATATAATAATAATAATAAGAGTGGCTGCATTAGTCAAGTTTTTCTTTTAATCTTTAATCTTCCCCTAAATGTTTTTATTTTTCTCAACTGAAATATGAATGGTCAAGTATGGATTACTTCTAATTTAAATAAAAAAAAATTAAAATCAACACATTTGAAATGTGTATGTGATTCTTTTTTATATCCGTTGAATATACAAGTCCAGGATAAACCATAATGCAATTTTTTGAAGGCAGTTGCAGCAAAGACTCTCCTGAGTGAAGGCATACATTTCACACAGAGAAGAAAAACCTTTCATCCTCCTTATGTTCTACAGACTACTTCCAGAGACTTTCAGGAACCGTGTGTTGCACGTTGTGTTGGATGTTTTCAGTCAGAGTAATCCCTAAAAACAATGATCCTCAGTATGTATGCAGTGATGGACCATTCTAATGATAAACAACATCGTGGTGGTGTGTTTGAACCTCTGGGAGAACAAAGAGTTGAGTAGATATCTACCTCATGTCCCAGAGGAGGAGAGTGAAAAAGAAGCGACTCAGAAACAGACTCATGAAGCCTTCTGTGTTGATGGTATACTGGATATGTGTTTTTCTACTTCTTGTTTTTGTGTTTCACAGCTAACAGCAGTACAGAAAAACACTTGATTACACCAGAAAATCTATAAATGTGCTTTGCCAAATCCCCATTTTATCCCAGTCTTACATTTGGGCTTGGTAGATCTCCAGTGGTTGGATGATCCAAAGGAGCTTTCAGCAGCTTGTCCCCAAGGATAGTGATGAGGTACTGGGCCATGACCTCCTGCTGCTCCGGGCAGCAGTGGTTTTCCAGTGACAGTATCACTGGGTAAGCGGACACCTTAAGAAACGATCAGACTTAGATTTACTGGACTCGATATGCACAGATTATTTTTAGTGTATGATAAGAGATGGTATGGATCAGAAAAATGCAGCTAAGTATAGGTGGAAAGTCAAGTTTCCTCCCAGGATTACCACCCGGGGGGAAAGCATGTCAACAAACATGATGTTACCTCGAAGGCATGTTGCTCCACGGTTTGGATGACATCCTTAAAGAGTATCTTTGTGGTCAGGGTGTGGCCATGGTAGACTAGAGGCTCCATGTCTGGCCCATCCCAGCAGTCAATCTCCAGACAGCGGCAGCCTCTCCTCAGAGCACTGTGCACAATCATATGTATTAGCATTAGCATTAGCATTAACATAGCCATCTTTACTGTGAAATACTGACTTTTTTTCAATATTTTTAACTTTTTTTTTAGTTTGCTTCTCCTCGCTATATGTGTAGGACCATCATCTTATTTTTAAAACATGTCAACAGCAGTTTGCATTAGACCATGGTTGTCTACAAATTGTACAAATTTTTTTATAGTTTATAGTTAGTCACTGCAGCACTTCAAGGCCAACACCTCAGTGTACATTTATGTACATACTGTATATTAGCCTATATATTTTATTATACATATAATATACAGATGTTTTGTGAAGTACAAGGAAGAAATTATTAATCTAGTCATCAACCACTATTAATTTGGATTTTTTTATATATATTGTGTAGCATAGTGTTTTAATAAAAATACACATTTAATCGGGATTGTTGATTATTGCGTTTACTACTTTTCCCCTACAGTAATGCTCTAGAGCAGAAGTGTCAAACTCAATCATTCTAGGGGCCAGAATTTAAAAGCCAGTCTAAGTTGCAGGCAAAACAAGATTAACATTTATTGAGTTACAGTCTAGTGCTGACAATGCTTTAACAGGAATATTTAATTTGAAGAGACTGGAACAACCTTTTCCTCAAAAACGAAAAATCAAAATATGAACATCAAGTATAAGAATATGATTACGCACAAAAAGTAGGATTTTTTTAATGATTCAAAATAGAAAAATCAAAACTATAATAGCCAAATTGTTAGGGGTTGATAAGACAATGCAGATTGTCCAGTGTGTCCCATTAGTTGTTGATATTTCCTTTCACCAGGATGCCAGAAGGCAGGTCATCAAATGAAGAGGCATCATGGGAGATGTAGTTTATGGTAAAAGCATGCTTGATTGCTTGAATTAGAAATATGAATTACTCATCATGCATATGCCATAGACCAATGGAATTTTATGAAAATGCACATGTGACTAACTGGTGGGCCACATGAAATATGTGGGCCTAGCGTTTGACATGTGTACCAACGAAATCGAAGGATGAGTTCTCCATTATGCACGCAAACCAAAGCTTCCAGATCATTGGTTCGGAGCGTTCCATTCCACCAGCCGACCAGGACACTCAGCACTTTCACAGTGACCATAAATACAGCACATGTGCTACCATCAGCCCCTTTTGTAATCACTCTCATTGTCCCATAAAGGGACCACAGCAATTACACTGTCTGCCTCAGCACATGGGTCAACGAAATGAGAGGAAAAAAGATAGTCCAGATACCACACATGTCGGAAAAAGAGACTTAAAGCACAGAGGTTGTTGTTTGATGAGGGCTTTTTTACATTAGTTCATCTTCAGTCCAGTTAAGACTCATAACTCATTCAGGTGACATGAGTGTTTCCCCAGATGTGGGTAACTTTGTCAGAATGAGTCCAATGACCGTCTTTATGTATCATACTTAAATGATCTTACATTACATAGGCATCAAGG